GGGGGCTCAGTTACATGTTTTCATGGTCATTTAAGGCAATTAGCTTTCTCTCCCATAGCGGTCATGCATTTAGGACTGTTGTGAAAAAAAACCCGTCATTTTTATCCTCGGTTGGTTCTGGTAGAACACCGATGCACCGTAATGCTCACTTGAGTGTTCACTAATGTTTTTTAATTTTTTTATTTCTTAAATACTTTAATCATAGAACATTTCTGTAGAGATTTGATCTAGAACCATAGTCTGCAACCTTTAGGATCAAAAGAGCCGTTTCTTCCCCTCCGTTCACTAAATTAAACGTGTCCAGAGCTGCAAAACCTGCTACAGTTGTCATTATCAACTGGTGGCCCATGGGCCATGTTAAGTTTGTTAGAGGGGGCTTTTCTGGCCAGTAGGTGTGAAATTATAAAACTAAAAACATCCATTGATGGTTAACATTTATTGATATTTTTACAAAGTGAGACTTGTAAAGAAAGAAAAAGATTTTTTGCCAATTAAAAAAAAAACTAAAACAAAGAACTTTGCAGGCTTATGTATTTTTTTTTTAAATTGTGGAGAAACTGAGTTTCCTATTTTGAAGAAATAACGCATAAAGTTAAAGGGAATATAATTTACTTTGTGTACTACTAATATCCACAAATTTGCAAAGGAAATGACAGGAAATTTGCTAAAACTAGTCATTTTTTGTTGTGGGTATAACATCCTATAAAATTCAGTTTTATGTTGGTTTTAGTCAAAGCCTGAAAGAGCCGCTGCAGAGGGACCAAAGAGCCGCTGCAGAGGGACCAAAGAGCCGCATGTAGCTCCAGAGCCGCAGGTTGCAGACGACTAAAAGATTATCTGATCTTACACTGGTCCAACTGAGAGTCCACAACAAACGAAATGATGACAAAGAGCTTCTGTTGGGGATTAATAATGAATGTAATAAATCTCATGCATATATTAATGCATCCAGTAATGGATGTTGAGAAAATGAATCAGAATGCTCTTACTGCTTGTAAGTCAACAACTTTAATGTGACAGGCTGGATGTCATTTCAATAGCAAGCAGTTCTCGTTTTCACCCCGCCACTTTCATTTAAAAAAAACTGAGAGATTGTGATAAAAAAGAAAGTTTCTCAGAACAACATAATTCATTTTCTTTGTTGAAAAGAAACACCTTCTTACTTTCTCTCTTAAACACTTTGTTACTTAAGGGGAAAAAAAAACAAAAAACATTTTTTAAATGTGCCAACAATAATAATCAGAATACAACCTTTAGTTCTTTCATTTTATCTTTTGTTCCCTCTGATTTCTCTTTTATTGCTTAGACGGAGAGAATACATGAGTCTCTATGCGAGAAAAATTGCACAAGAGGCATTCAACTAAAAGAGATTGATTGTGCGAGGGAGAGATGGAGAGAGACTCATGACTGTATCATCCAGCATCAGAAACCAGACACTGGCTAAATGACCCATTTGTCAATGGATCAAAGCAATTGCCTTCATTACTGACAACTTTTCTGGTTCTTAAGGAGATTTCATCAGTGGGCTTAGCTCTGTTCTGTCAGGCAAAACTGAATCAATTGCTAAATTTTCATGCCACCGGGTCTTTGGGGAAACAGGCTCGAGGAGGCAAAGAGAAGGAGATGAATTACACAGATCCAGTCACTGAAGTGCAGATGAATTAACCCTCAACTAAACTTAATGTTAACTAAGCTTAAAAAAATGAATCCAACTACTTCCAGTGTGAGCAGCACAGACTTAAAACATTGAGTATTAAACCCAGGACACGACAGGACACGGTATATTTCAAATGAAACAAATGCAAGCTGCAATGAGATTAAATGATTCATAGAGTGCAATCAGACAACATCATTAAAAAGAAAAGAAAGCAGAGAACAAACACAAACTGAAAAGAAACAGAGGGAAATACTATTTAAAACATTCAATATCAAATAAAGCATGGCTCAGAATAGCAGAAACACAAAGACCTGCTTGTTTGCAAAATGATCCACGGCAGCAGTGAATGACAGGAAGTGCAGTACTGCAAGAAGATATTTCATAAAATATGAACTTTGGAATATGTGGCAAGCCATTTCAATATTTAATATTGCTGATATCAGGCACAATTTCCTCCACACCAGCACTCATCTAGATGAGAAACTAGATGTGACTAAGTTTTTAATTTGAAATGTTATTCAGTTCTGTATCAAGTTTTTTTTTCTGTACTGCTTTTTGGAACTTTTTTCTTGTAAAAACATAAAAATCAACACTGAAGAAAATAAACCTAGAATTTGCCATTTGTTTATTTATCCGGTTTTACTCAACTTATACCAAACTGTGATTCTCCTACATATCTCCTACATTTCCCTCTGCTTCTTTTCACTTTGTCTTTGTTGTCTGCTATCTTTTATTTTTAATGATGTTACTCGATTGCACTCTATGAATCATTTAATCTTGTTGCAGTTTGCATTTATTTCATTTGAAATATACCGTGTCCTGTCTCATCCACACTGAACAATGATTTAGGCACATTGTTACACTTCTAACAAAGTTGTGAAGTCAAAATGGAAATGAAGCACACACACAAACAAAGCAGTGTTAGATGTGTCTTTTTAAATTTTGAATCAAAAAACAAAAAAAAAAAACCGTTGCAATGTTTTCAACACTTCCCCTCATTCCTCAC